CTCTCTTCCCTGGCTATAAATAGTCGATGACCCTTCGCCTCTTTCTCTTTTTTCCTCAGGCCTTTTGGGCCGACACCTGGAGGTAAATCTCTCTTTTTTCCTCAGGCTTCCAGCCTTACCACCTCAAAAATGTAGGCGCTCACAGGGATAGCGTTTTCCCAAATGCTGGGAACACGCTAAGCACAATATTTATCAATCCACCCACGAGGATTGAATATGGCACAAGGCCGGTTTAATGTGGGTATCCCCGAGCCCGTAGTTTCGGCCAAAAATATAGCCATTTTGAACCCGCCTAGACGGATTCAGGCCCTGTCTACCTCCCCGAACGAAACCTTGTCCTTCGGCAAAGCTTCGTCCGGGTTCCTCTCTACTAATGCAGAGAGTTCGACAGACGCCGACTCAGAAGCTCACAAAGGCAGCATACTACACTTTGATCCCAGCACCCAGGCCGAGCAACTAAGCACAATACACACACACACACACACACACACACACACACACACACACACACACACATATATATATATATATATATATATATATATATATATATATATATATATATTCACACACACTTTGTCCTTTGTAACTGTTTCCATGTAACTTGTTATTAATATATATATTTGTATACATATATTATCGGTCTTGTGTTTTGTTTGTTTTTCTTTGCCTTCTTCTTTGGACTTAAAAGTCCAACTTTCTCGTGTTTCTTCTACTTCAATATCACAGCCACGGTCCACTACATCAGTACTGAGAGCAGGCCAGACATGCAGTGTCTCGGAGTGGGGGCCATAATATCAAATATACTATAATAAATTGTCTCAATCTTTCAGCCCAGGAGGTTTAAATAAAAAAAAAGATCCAATGAAGTTAATGTTATACTATTTGAACAAGGTTATTTATTTTACTACAGGATAACAACACAATCAATAGAAAATATAAATTCTTTTCTACAAACGAGATACAGTTAGAAATGGCAAATTATTTAATGAGACACTTGTTTTTGCTTATTGTTTGATAAATTCATCAAGTGAAACATTTGTCGATAACAGGAGCAAAACATCATCCAGATGGTCATCATCCAATCTTGTCTTTAAACGACTTGTAATATATTTAATTTTCGAAAAAAGTTGTTCACAAGTATATGTATACCAAATAATGATACCATCATTTTCGCATTCTTTAATCGGCTTTTCTATTTGCCGCTTGTCAAAACATATTTCTTGTAGAAGTCAGCCGTGGATTCGGAATTAAATTTCGATTTTTAAAATTCGTCGCATTGTGTCACTTTCTCCACAAATTAATTACATAATTAGTGTCCAAGTATTAAGCTGGCGGGCCGGACAAAAATCCTTCGCGGGCCGCATGTGTATTACGTTTTTATGTAATATATTTTAAGAAAATATTCTAGAAAAGAAATTAATTAATAAAGGTATATATCTGTTTCTGTCTATATTTCTGAGGTGAGGTATTAAGTACACTATTTACATTATTCAGACTATTGTTCTCATCTTTGTCGCCATATTTATTACAACCTTTCGGCCGTTGTACGCTCTGGCCTTCTTTAGGTGGTTGGAATGTCGAACTGAAGCCTTTATTTCGCTCACTAGACTGTTCTAGTTCCACGTGTCATGTCTAGTGGATGTCACCTGAAAACCTCCCGATCAGATGCCTTGCTGCCGGATGTAGTTTATCGTCGTACCCAGGGCGAGAAATTTGTAAATAAAAATACATTACAGATAACACTTTATAATGTCAGGGATCAATCTGACATTGTATTTATTTTGTGGAGTGATTTCACAGTGGAGGCTTGAATTTGTACTAAGTCGGTCCTAAAATAGGTTCGACGTACAAAACGTTAGGAACTTGATATAATAGGTATAACGCAGAGTAATCTAGTTGTAGTCGCTGATACTTTAGTATTCGACTAACGGTCGTCCGACATCAACTGACTGACTGACTATATTTAGTCACCACGCCCCCCCCAACACACGTGGGCATCATGTGGCACAAGGCCGGTTTAACATAAAAAATATGCCCATTGAACCCGCATAAACGGGTTCAGGGTCGGTTTACCTCCCCGAAAGAGAATCCGCCCTTTTGGCGTAGGCTCATTCGGGTTCCTCCTCGCCCGAAGGCAGAGAGTTCAACCGATCACCCAGTCGACTGACTGACGATATTCAGTCACCCCCCCACGAGGGAGTCATGTGGCACAAGGCCGTTTTTAACGTGGGATCTCCGAGCCCGTGGGATCTCCGAGCCCGTGGGATCTCCGAGCCCGTGGGCTCGGCCAAAAATATGCCCATTGATACACGTGTTCAGGGTCGGTTTACCTCCCCGAAAGAGAATCCGCCCTTCGGCGTAGCCTCGTTCGGGTTCCTCCCCGCCCGAAGAGTTCAACCGAACAGCCAGTCGACTGACTGACGATATTCAGTCACGCCCTCCACACTGGGGCAGCATGTGACACAAAGTCGGTTAATTATTGTGGGTTCTCCTAGCCCGTGGGCTCGGTCCAAAAATATGCCCATTGAGTCCGTATAAACAGGCTCACGGCCGGTTTACCGCTCCGAACGAGACTCCGCTCCTCGGCGTAGCCTCGTTCTGGTTCTTCCCCGCCAGAAGGCAGAAGTTCAACCGATCAGCCGGTCGAGAAAGCGAGCGACTCACTGACTTTTACTACTCCTACTTATTATAGGTGGGAGAGTCTCTTAACTATAGAATAGGTGTGTTCCACTGTAACAATTTATACTATGAAGACAACTCACTTCTAAATTGATTTCAAACATCATTATTTTTCGATTTTCAAAAATGAGGTTGAGGGAACGTTTACTAAACTACAAATATTATTCACTGATTTTTTTTACGAGCGGGCCACATATTTTAATTAGTTTTATTAATTCGTTTTATTCAGTTGGCGCAGATTACGCCGCTGTGATCACCACTTAATCTCTCAAGTTTACTTCATGGCGACAATTCAAGGCAGAACAGTGCAATGGATTACCGGTTCCTTTTGATCTGAAGATGTTGAGGTTACCCACCGGTGTGTATTTATTTTTGATGTTATCTTCTTCTAGCCTTTTCTTAAACAGGTACGACCTACAAGGCAGCAAGTGGTTTGAATTCAGAGTTTTCTTCTCCTAGACCGGTTGCCAACTAAGGCTATAGCACCCAGTATGTCTTGCTTTTTTAATCATAACTGGGAATAGTTGAATTGATGCCTTTCCCAAGGATATCAGCATGTGTGAATTTATATCAGGTCATCCCATAAGTTCTGTCCGAATTTTGAATAAAGACAAGTTATCAAATGTTACATTTAATTACAGATTCAATCAACAATGTATTTTCCCTGATTATCTATGACTTCCTTCCATCTATTAACAAGCTTACTAATTCCATTACTGTAAAATTCTTTTGGCTTTGATTCGAAGAACTCACAAATGTCAGTTTTAACCTCTTCCTGTGTTACAAAAGCTGTTTCTTCCAAATGATTCTGTAAGCTACGAAACAAATGGTAGTCTGAAGGAGCAAGATCGGGAGAATAAGGTGGATGAGGAATTTTCTCCCAACCAAGTTCTTCGATCTTTTGTGACGTGATTCTTGCTGTGTGGGGTCGCGCATTGTCCTGATGAAACATCACCTCTTTTCGATTCACTGAGCAGGTCTTTTTTTTCAAAGCTTGGTTCAAACGCTCTAATTGCTGACAGTATATTTGAGCATTAATTGTTGCATTAGGTGGTAAGAATTCAAAGTGGATTATTCCTTAGCGATCCCACCAGATTGAAAGAAGAACCTTTTGCACATGAAGTTCCCTTCTCGGCTGTGGCTGGGGTCCTTCCCCTTTACCAAACCACTGTCTACGACGCTTAACATTTCGATAAAAGATCCATTTTTCGTCGCCAGTCACAGGTCTATCCAAAAAAGGTGAAACAAGTTGGCGAGAACTCAGGATTTGAGGTTGTCTTCAGACAATTCATGAAGCACCCATTTTCCAAGTTTAGGAACTTTTCCAATTTGTTGAAGATGACGATGAACAGTTGTATGGTTTGAACAGAGAACCACTGCCAATTCCTCAACTGATAAAGCAGGATTTTCTTCAAGGGCTGCTTCAAGAAGCTTTTCATCAAACTCAACTGGACGTCCGGTTTGATCTTCATCTTCAAGGATGAAATCTCCACCTCTGAATTTTGCAAACCATCTTCTGCAAGTTCTTTCATTCACACATTCCTCTCCATAAACTGAGTGAATGTTTCTAGCCACTTCGGCTGCTGAGTTTCCTTTCTTGAACTCATAAAGCATTATGTGCCTCAAATGATTCTTGGGTACTTCCATGTTAGCAGGGTTTTAATCAAACAGAATTTAATTTTATTGTTCTCTGAAATAAAATTTGATCAGTGTAAATGCATCTAAACATAAAAATAATGTTCAGCTCCATTAGACTTTATAAAATACCCTTTAAATTTCGTTCATTTTAAAAAAAGATAAAATTCGGACAAAACTTATGGGATGACCTGATATAATGAACTTGAATTCGAACTCGGCTCTCCGATTTCTCAATCCGAGTCGCTAACTGCCCTTACTTCCGTGTTAACATTAGTATTGTTATATACCAAACGTAAACCGAATCCATCATAGTAAAATATCCTGCTATCACCTTTTTGCTGGTTGTGTGGATAAAAAGATGTTTTTTCCCCTATAAATCGGCTTGAGAAACGGCGGGACGTTGATGTTTTGGGCCTTTGTATTGAAGCTGTTCATGTTGTAGGTAAACAGATATTATTGCTGAATATTGCTTGCAATTTTCGTGCGAGTGCAGCGTCTTTATTTCAAAGTTGAACCCGGACAAATAAACAAACCGAAAGACATTTGGTCTATTGTAGAAAGGTTATTGAACTGAACCGTTAATTTGCTTTAACTGGAAGAGATTGCTTTTTGATAAACAAAATGGCCGCTGTGAAGAAAGACACAACGATTTCTTTCCGCCCGAAAATGCCAAAAATAAAATGGCGCCGGCGGCAAAGATCCGTGTGCGGGCGCAGAATGAAATCAACCCAGGAACAAAAATGTCTTGCTTTCCTTTCGCTTTGGATAAAACAGTTTACACTGTTTATCTGCGAAACTTGAATCCAAAGCAACAAACAATGGATTTTGTTTTACCGGTTCTTCTTTCTTTTTCAAATGTTTTTTTTTTAATCTTTTCTTTGGTCTTTTGTTCTCGACTCGTTTTTTTTTTTAAAGGTTTTGTTTATATTTTAACGACAGTTTTCTTTCTTCTTTCTTTCTCTCTTTGTTACATTTTTACTTTCTTTTTACTTTCACACTCTCGGTTGTGTTTAATCTTTCTTTCTTACTTTCTTTTTTGTTTCTGCTTGCTTCTTTTTGTTTTCTTTGTTGATTTACTTTGCTTTCTTTTTCTTTCGTTCTTTCTTTCTTTCTTTATTTATTTATTTTTCTCTCTTAGATTTTACTTTCTTTCTACTTTCATTCTTTCTTTTTTTCTACTTTCTTTTCATTGTTAACATTTCTTGCTGTCTCTCTCTTTATTTTCTTTCTTTCTTGCTTTTTAATCTTTCTTTCTTTCATTCTGCTACTGTTTTCAACGTAAACTTTTCTTGCTTTCTTTTTATTTTCTTTCTGTCTTTCTTTCTTCTTTGTTTTAACTGATAACATTTCTTGCTGTTTTTTTCTTTCTTTCATTCATTATTTTCTTTCTTAGATTTTACTTACATTTTCTCTTACGTTTCTACTTTCTTATTATTCTTTCTTTCTTTCTTTCTTTTTTCTTCTCTTTGTTTTAATTGTTAACATTTCTTGCTGTCTTTCTTTATTTTCTTTCTTAGACTTTTACTTTCTTTTTACTTTCATTCTCTCTTTCACTTGTAGTTGTTATTTCCGTCCTTTCTTTTTTTGTTAAAATTTCTTACTTACTTACTTACTTTCTTTCTTTCTTTCTTTCTTTCTTTCTTTCTTGTTTCCATTGCTAACATTTCTTGCTGTCTTATTTATTCTTTCTTTCTTTCTTTCTTTCTTTCTTTCTTTCTTTCTTTCTTTCTTTCTTTGTTATAACTGATAATATTTCTTGCTGTCTTTTTTCTTTCTTCATTTTCCCACTTAGATTTTGACATTCGTTTTACTTTCATTCCCTCTTTCGTTTCGTTTTTCGTTTCTACTTTCATTTTATTCATTTTCTTTCTTTCTTTCATAGATTTTTTTACATTCATTTTAATTTTCTTTTTCTCTTTCGTTTTCACTTTATTTTCCTTCTTCCTTTCGTTGTCTCGACTGGTGAGAAATAATATGTATATTTATTGATATGCAAATAATTTATTATATGAGAAATAATATGTATATTTATTAATATGCAAACATACACACGCACACACACACACACAAACATATATATATATATATATATATATATATATATATATATATAGTGTGAAGTGTAAATTGATAGCATGTTATATGTTTAATTTCGCGCATGCGCGTTGTCTGTTTTCGATTTTGTCGAGTGTACCCTTTAGTATGGGCCAGTTGGGTACCATCAGTTGGACACGACTCTTTATCCATCGCAACCTGTATATATATACAAAGCATTTAAATTGAACACACACACACACACACACACACACATATATATATATATATATATATATATATATATATATATATATATTAAGTTGGATGATGTGAGTTTGTGACCCTTGGTTTCACGCCCTTTGCGATCGATCGTCTAGGGGTGAAACCAGTGTCCTAAACACACATCTATCCTACTAAGTATGTTAACTCTATCACTGATATATATATATATATATATATATATATATATGTGTGTGTGTGTGTGTGTGTGTGTATGTTATGTATGTGTGTGTTTATATTCCTATACATACATATATATATATATATATATATATATATATATGTGTGTGTGTGTGTGTGTGTGTGTGTGTGTGTGTGTGTGTGTGTGTGTGTGTGTGTGTGTGTGTGTGTGTGTGTGTGTGTGTATGTAGGTTCGCCTATCATCCGATTCCCACTTCACTCCCGTCTTTTAAATAAAGTAGAGGTTTATCGCTCGTTTCCTGTTTAGGATGGGGTTTCCGGTTCCTTTTAAAAATCCAATTCAGCTCTATACTCGTTGCGGCTCTCCATTGCTAAGCTAATATATCTCTACACAGTAACCCTCTTTATTGAGTTGCCATAGTTGATTTTCGGCCTTGTATTGAGTGAACTTTAGTAAATACACAAACACACATGCATATATATATATATATATATATATATATATATATATATATATATATATATATATATATATATATATAATTGTGCATTTAGGCAGTAATCCTTTTTTAATTATTTTCGTTCTGTTTCTTTCTCTCTTTTTTATTACCCTTTCTTTCTTTATTTCTTCGCATTATTTTCGGTTTACTTCTTTCTTTCTTTCTTTCTTCTCATTATTTTCTTCTTTTTCTTACCCTTTCTTTCATCCTTTCTTCTCATTATTTTCCTTCTGCTTCTTTGTTCCTTTTTTATTACTCGTTCTTTCTTTCTTTCTTCTAATTTTCTTCTTTTTCTTACCCTTTCTTTCATCCTTTATTTTTTTCTCATTATTTACGTTCTGGCGCTTTCTTTTTTGTCACCCTTTCTTTCTTTCTTTCTTTCTTCTTGTTATTTTCGTTCTGTTTCTTTCTTTTTTTTCTTACCCTTTCTTTCTTTCTTTCTTTCTTTCTTTTTTTTATCTCTTTCTTCTCAATATTTTCGTTCTGCTTCTTTCTTTCTTTTTTAGCCCTTTATAGCCTTTTCTTTCTTTCTTTCTTTCTTTCTCACCCTTTCTTCTCATTATTTTTGTTCTGCTTTTTTCTTTCTTTTTTATTACTCGTTTTTGCTTTCTTTCTTTTTTCTTCTTATTTTCCTTCTTTTTCTTACCCTTTCTTTCATCCTTTCTTTTTTTCTCATTATTTTCGCGCTGTCTCTTTTTTTATCCCCCTTTCTTCCTTTTCTTTCTTTCTTTCTTTCTTTCTTTCTTTCTTTTTCTTTCTTTATTATCTATCTATCTATCTATCTTTCTTTCTTTCTTTCTTTCTTTCTTTCTTTCTTTCTTTCTTTCTTATTCTATCCTAATCTTTCTTTCTTCTCCTGCCCTAACCAATGATTTCTTTCTTTCTTTCTTTCTTTCTTTCTTTCTTTCTTTCTTTCTTTCTTTCTTTCTTCGCCTTTCTTTCTTTTTCTGTTCTCCATTATTCTTTATTCTGCCAGTCTATCAATTTATGTCTATCATTCTTTCTTTCGTTTTCTTTCTTTTTTCGTATTCTATCCTAATCTATCTATCTATCTATCTATCTATCTATCTATCTATCTATCTATCTATCTTCTCTTCTCTTCTCCATTGTTCTTTATTATTTTTTATTTGCTTTCTATGTTTATTTACTTTTTTCCTCTGTTACCGTTTTCTTTCTTTCTTATTTCCTTCCTTTCTTATTTTCTTTCTTTCTTTCTTTCCTATTTTTGAATTTATTCATGGCTTTTTATTCCTTTTGATTGTTTTCCTATCACATTCTCCCACTTCTTATTTATTTATTTATAGCTTTTATATTATTTATTTATTTATTTTAAATTTATTTATTTATTGTTCATTTTCTTGTAGCAAAATAACCAGGGACATTTATTTTTGTAACTTAATACCAAGGAAGCATAGACGACTCTATATTTGGAAATGCTCGTTATCAAGTATATGGTGTCAAATTTGAATATTTTATGTGCAGAAGTGACTAAATTTGCTTAATTCGCTGTTTGCTCTTGGAGCTGTAGATTATTCGCTGTGTTAAATGATTGTTGGCTGTGTTTTTAATCAACATTTAGACCATACTTCCTTGCAAAATGGCTAAATTTGCTCATGATAAATTCAGTGCTTTTGCGGGCTATGCACTGATGTTGCTATCAGCTGCGACACGTCATCAACCGAGTTCCGTTTTTTCTTCTATTTTTTTTTTTTTTAATTTGGGCAGCAATCCCACTCTAATACATGTGTTTGTTAAATACTTTTCTACCTCCATCAGTAGGAGAGTGACTAATTGCGTCTTCTCGGGTTAACATTCTCGGCCGACATGAAATGGAAAGACTATATTGAATCCATTACTAGGACTGCTGTCAAAAAATTGGTTCACTGTGTCGTACGAGACAATTTCCCCTCCTGAATCTATCTTACATATTTATAAATCTACCAGTCATCTACGACTCGAATATTCTTGTCAAATATGGTCTAGCGTTCCTGCTGAATATCTAGAGATTCTTGATAAAATCCAAAGAGGAATCTGCGATATTATTTCTCCTAACCTGGCATCTCGACTTCAGTCAGTTTCCTCATTGCCGTAAAGTTGCATCCCTGTGCATTTCGATAAATACTTTCATGGTAATTGTTTTGATGAACTTTCCGCTATATGTGAGTCAAATCGCCCCACAACCCGCTGCGTCAGGCTCTTATTTCTTTGAATTAAAACTAAATAAGCTTTTGCTGTTTGGGTGGACATACAGTTTGAAATACTTCCATGGTAATTATTCTGATGAACTTTACTCTATGGTACCTAGATGTGGGCCCTTATAGAGCTGTGGTCTCAGTATGGGGGTATTTTATGAGAAACGAAACCTGATTTTATGCGAGTCAATTCCCGCTACCACCTGCTGTGCTAGGCTCTTGTTTTTTTTTTAGATAAAACTTAAAATCATATGAGCGAAATTGTTTTAATTAAAACTATTCGATAGGCTTAAACATTAAACATGGGCAGTAAGTCGCGTTTGTCTTGAATTTGTTTCTCAGTGAAATCAAAGTATAGACTCGTATTTCGTATTAAACGAACGAAGTTTATTTCGTAAACTTTGCTTTGAACATTTCTGCCACTTCTAGTGATTCTGCTATATATTCAAAGATTTTTGATAGAATCCAAAGACGCATCTGCAGTGTTATTGGTCCTGACCTGACATCTCGGATTCAGTCACTTCCCCACCGCCGTAAATTTGCTTTCCTGTGCCTTTTCTATAAATGCTTTCATGGTAATTGTTTTGATGAACTTTCCGCTATAAAAAATTGTAATCATTATAAGTATTCATTGGGGTTTCATTTTTAAAAGTTGTTATATTTAATCCCCACTCCCGATAGATAAATCATACATATGGGAACTACTTAGAGCTTTATAGAGACTTAGAGGTATTATGGTGACTGTTATAAGAATGGTAAGTAAGAATGTGTTGTTTTGATGTATGAATACTTTGTTAATTCTGAGTAGCAAAGTTTAAGCTGAGACAGCCTTCCCCCATCACCCCTTTAGCCTTGTACCACATTTTTGTATTCTCAAAATAAATATTAATTTCCGATATGGTACCTAGATTAGCGGCAATGGCTCATCAATCTACTGTTGAAATTGTTATATATAACCATAAGTTCTATGCTAACAGTTTCTTTTGTCGTACTTCTCAGTTGTGGAACTCTCTTGAGGCTTCTTGCATTCCAGTAAACTTTGATCTTCAAAATTGTCAATTCCTGTTCTTTCTTAATTCTTCTTTTTATTACTCCTTAATAGTATTTTTTTTCTCATATTCTCTAACACTCAGTAACCCCCTTGCGTCCTAGCGGCATTATTACCTTGCTTGGGATAAAATAATTAAAAAAAGAAAGGAACAAAAAAAAAAGCGACAATTTTGTCATTAAAATTACGAAAATTGCTAGATGCAACCGTAAGTTCTATTCTAACGGTTTCTTCTATCACATTTCTCGCTTGTTGACCTCTCTTCCGCCTTCTTGCTTCCCAGTTAATTTTGATCTTCAAAAAATTTAAATGCAATGTCAATCGCTATCTTCTGTCTTAATTCTTGTCTTTTATTGTCCTCTCTCCTTAATAGCAGTTTTTTTATTCTTATATTGTCTATCATTCAGTACCTACCTAAAGTTCTATTGACTTTATTGCCTTGCTTGGGTCAAAATGATTTTTTAAAAAAAGCTACAATTTAGTCGCCATTAAAATTACGAACAGTTTCATCTTACACGAATAATCTTCCATATGTCATCTAATATCATTTTACTTCCAAGCAGGACGTTTCAGTTCGTTTGATAAGCGAAAACGAGGCTTTCATTCACTACTTTCCAAAGTGACGCCAGTTATGGCCGACTCTTAATAGTTCATGCGGCAAATTATTTTTCTTTTAAATTAAAGAAACGGCAAGCGATGAAATTATTTAAATGCGCTCTACAAAAATAGATATTCCTACTTCTATGTTTCTTCTCTCATATTCCTTTTATTTTTATTAGTTTGTTTATTTACGGCTTTAATTTTTATTTTATTTAGTTATTGTTTTTTTTGTTTTTTTTTTTTCAAAATGGCTGAAGTCGATTAAACAGAATTTCTTGTGTTCGGCTTTTATTTCTTTTCTTCTAATGGGTGTGGTAAATTTGTAGTCAGGAACCAAACAATGGATTGGGGTGACGTCATTGTTTTTACGATGATTTCAATCATTGCTTTGTTGTGTTTTCCGTCTGTGGTTAGAAGGAATTAATTTAAGTAATTATTCATTTATTTATTAAATTTGTTTTCTTTCTTTAGAACTCTGTTTTTGTTTTGCTTTTCGTGATTATTTTTGCTTCTTTTTTTCTTTCTTTCATAGTTGTTTTGTTTGCTAGTTGTTTCTTTGTTTTTTTGTTTGTTTTTGCGTATTGGTATATATATATCTTTTGTTTTTTTTTCTTTCCTTCTCTGGCACTTCTTCCGTCTTTAATCTTCATTTTTCTTTTTATGGCGTTCTTTCGTCACTCCTTCTCTCACTTGGTGATTTTCCTTTTTTGTCTTTCTTTTGTGCTTCTTTCTGTTTGTCTTTTCTTTTTCTTAGTCTCGTCTTTCGTTGGTTTAGAATTTAATAGCTATGTCTTTCTTTAGACTTTTTTTCTCCTTCCTTTTTTCTTTCACTTTTCTTTCTTTCTCCCATTCACTTGTCTTTGGTTTGCTTATTATTTTCTTTTGCCTTTCTTTTCACCATCATACGTTTTCATCTGTTTATTTTTTTTTAGTCTTTCTTTTTTCCTTTCTTTTCTTTTTCATTCTCCACATCTTTGCCTTTCTTTCTCATTAGATTCTCATTAGATTCTCATTGCCTCGTCTTTCTTTCTTTCTTTCTTTCTTTCTTTTTTTCTTTCTTTCTTTCCTTTTATCTTTTTTCTTGTCTGCTTGCTTTCTTACATGCATTATTTCTCTTTTTCTTAGTGGCTTTCTTTCTTTCTTTTTTCTTCGCTGGTTGCTTATCTTTCCTCGCAAATTTTTGGTTTCTTCTTTTTTTATGTTGCCTTATCTCTCTCTTTTACCTTTTTCCTTTTTTTTCCTTTTATTTATTGTCGGTTTTTTCTCTTTCTTTCTTTATTGCTTGCTTGCCTTCATACAATCTTTTCTGCTTGCATTTTTTTACTTTTTCTTTATTTATTTAATTCTTCTGACATTTTTCCTTTCACTTTGCCTTTCTTTCTTTCTTTTAAGGTCTAACCTCCTCTGTTCCTTTTCTTTCTTTCTTTCTTTCTTTCTTTCTTTCTTTCTTTCTTTCTTTCTTTCTTTCTTAAACCCTTTCTTAATATGTTCTCTTTTATCTTTTCTTTCTTTCTTTCTTTCTTTCTTTCTTTCTTTCTTTCTTTCTTTCTTTCTCACCGTTTTCTCTTTTCTCTTTTCTTTTCTTCTCTTTTCTTTCTTTCTTTCTTTCTTTCTTTCTTACCGCTTTCTCTTTTTTCTTTTCTTCTCTTTTCTTTCTTTCTTTCTTTCTTTCTTTCTTACCGCTTTCTCTTTTTTCTTTTCTTCTCTTTTCTTTCTTTCTTTCTTTCTTTCTTTCTTTCTTACCGCTTTCTCTTTTTTCTTTTCTTTCATCTTTCTTTCTTTCTTTTTTTCTTTCTTTCTTTCCGTTTTTTCTTTTCTTTTGTTTTTTCTTTTCTTTCTTTATTTCTTACCGTTTTCTCTTTTCTCTTTACTTTTCTTTCTTTCTTTTCTTTCTTTCTTTCTTTCTTTCTTTCTTTAACTTTCCCAAATTTTTCATTTTGTCTTACTTCTTTCTTTCTTTCTTTCTTCTTTCTTTTACAATCTTTCTTGCTTGCATTTTTTGCTTTTTCTTTCTTTCGTTCTTGTTTTTTTTAACTTTTCTGACATTTTTCTTTTTTGTATTTTGTTTGTTTATTTGTTTCTTTCTTTCTTTTTTCTTTCTTTCTTTACATTTTCTTACTGTTTTCTCTATTATCTATTTTTTCGTCATTTCTTTTTCCTTTCTTCTTTTTTCTTTTAACTTTCCGTGTTTTTTCCTTTTATTTTACCCTTTCTTTCTTTCTTTCTTTCTTTCTTTCTTTCTTTCTTTCTGTTTTATCTTTTCTCTCGTTCTTTCCTTTTCTCTTCTTTTCTCTTTTACCTTCCCCCAACTATTCCTTTTATCTTTACCTTTTCTTTCTTTCTTTCTTTCTTTCTTGCTTGCTTGCTTTCTTACTAGTAGTACCCGGTAGCAGTAATCGACTGGTACTCGTCGTAGTCACAGGTAATAGGTGTAGACCAATAGGACAGCCAATGGCGTAGTCTAATGCGCGTCGTCATAGACTTAAACTCCGTCGTACCTACACGTCCGTCTGTATTTATGATGGACACGAGACAATCATATTCCAGTGAGGGGGAACTCAGGTGTATGCATATTTCATTATATCATATATATATATATATATATATATATATATATATATATATATATATATATATATATATATATATATAGTAATAATTATACTCGGTTGGTAAGAAAACTGGGATGACACAATTTGCAAGTATATAAAAAAAAATGTTGTCCGAGGAAAAAATTTTAAAAAAAAGCAAGAAGTGTAAACATCAGAACAGGGTGAAAAGAGTCGTCCAGTGCCTTAAATTTCCCGCCCAAAGAATAAAAAAACACGCTAGTTACTAATATAAAACATAGAGTGCTCAATACGTTTAGTAGAGCATAGTGAAAAACTAATCCTAAAGAGACAAGAATCTTTAGCATTATAAGAAGGAAATTCGGATTACCAACACACAAACAGAGAATGTCTCATATCGAGAATATTTAACATTGAACATGAGGAAAAATTAATTATTTTTAATAATATGTGGAAATCTCCACTTTTACCTGAACAAGGTCGCGAGACCTGAAACTCGTGTCGTAAAATTATGTAAAACAAAGCATAATATTTTTCTAAATAAATCCACATTACAACCAAAAACGTTTGCGACACCTCTCTTCTCTTCTTTTAATATACGTACTTTTCTATATATATATATATATATATATATATATATATATATATATATATATATATATATATATATATATACAATAGCTAGTGTTAGAAATATTTTTTTCATATTTATTCTTAAGAACATAAAATGCAATTTCATTTTATTCATATTATAAAATTTTCATTTTATACATATATATCCTCAACATTAGTGTTAATGATCTGTTGCTATTCATCTGGCAGGTGTTTGTTAATCCCTTTTATAAAGACTTTACTGGCGCCTGGGCCTTGTATTGGGTGGACATTAGTATATACATACATATATATATATATATATATATATATATATATATATATATATATATATAATATATAAACTCTTAAATATAAGACAATTCCCCTCTCCAAGTTCTTGAGGACACATGGCACAGTGGATAAAGGCGTTAGTTAGATCCAGTGACAGGACCCAAAGAGTTGTGAGCCCAATATCTGGGTAAGGCAGAGGAGAACTTGGAGGGAATTAACAGGAAATATATATATATATATATATATATATATATATATATATATATATATATATATATATATATTCAGGCATATCTTCATTCAGGCATGTTTCATTAAATAATATCGACATATCATGTCTATTTATTTTTGTACAAATCCTTTCTAGTTTTCTAATTATCTTCTTGATCTTAAGGTGAAATTAATCACGGAAGTTGCCGTAGTTTTTGTTGAACCAAGGACTTTCAATCTCCTCCGAGGTCATTCTGGGGGGGGGCGAAGACAAACTTAATGTAACTGTAACCGCTGTGATGGTGATTTTTGTAAACTGATAACTGACACCCATGAGACATGGCACATGGAACTCGAACAGTCTACACCAGTGAGCGAAATAAAGGGTTCACTTCGACATTCCAACCACCTGAAGAAGGCCGAAGCGTTGTAATAAATATGGCGACGAATATGATGATAATAGTCAGAATAATGTAAATAGTGTACTTAATACCTTATCTCAGAAATGTAGACTGATACCAGTACATTTTCGATAAAAAAAATATTACCAACAATAAAAATCTTGTCGGCATTAAATAACCTATTGAGATTGATATGCCGTAAAACAAAACAAACCAAACCAATAGATAGATAGATAGATAGATAGATAGATAGATAAAAATTATTACCAGAAATAAAAATCTTGTCGGCATTAAATAACCTATTGAGATTGATATGCAGTAAAACAAAAGAAATCATACCAAACCAATATATACTGAGATAGATAGATAGATAGATAGATAGATAGATAGATAGATAGATAGATAGATAGTATTACCAGCAATAAAAATCTTGTCGGCATTAAATAACCTATTGAGATTGATATGCCGTAAAACAAACCAAACCAATATATACTGTGATAGATAGATAGATAGATAGATAGATAGATAGATAGATAGATAGATAAAAGGTAATACCAGCAATAAAAATCTTGTCGGCATTATATGGCCCATTGACGTTGATATATCGTGAGATAAAACAAACCAAAGCAAACAAATTTGCTTTAGACTTTCATTAGATGTATGCGCCTGATTGACCCTAATTACAGTGTGTCATTATGAATACAGTACGCTTCGTATATTTGGATTCCAATGTCACTTTGTTGATTCGTCGCTCCCTCTCTTTCTTTCTCTCCCTTCTCTCTCTCTCTCTTTTAATAATAATAATAATGATAGCAGCTTTTCATTCCATCAAAAGACTACGTTTTCAAAGCAATTAAAGACTCCATTCTGATTTTGAAACTTCGTCTTGCTGAGAATAAACGTACGACCTGGAATTTTATCAAACTCCGAATTAACCCCAGGGGAAATATCTGTGACAATGTTGACGATTTCTCCAACCCACCCCCGGTTAACAGTAAGCCAGACACACACTTATCGGTACATGTGGCTGGCTTGCTGACTTTCTCCTCTTCGTACTGAGCTGTTACTTCCTCAGGTCAACCCAACACATGCACCTAAAACTCCTGGGGCTACTAAGTGCACTCAGACCAACAGATTCGACTCCCAAAATGTTGAATTCTTAACCTGATTAAAAGATTCTTAGACAACGCAAAAACATGGTTTGTCTGGAATTTATCCCACCGACCATTTCTTTTATTTTTAAGAAGACTTAAACATCCCCGAGATATTCAAAGGGCACTAGAGGGCTTTTTACTCAAAATTTATTGGCGTGATCCCTGAAACTTAGATGCGAAACGTCCTGCGGCTATTGTCACGGGCAGTTGACCCATGAATCCTAGCATAAATGGACGAATTAGAAAGGTCAGGAAAGGGCAAAAGTACGCTCAGTTAACGATGTTGAAAGAATTGAAAGTATCTACATTGCTCGGAAAGCGAGCGTTTTTATAAGAGATACCGTACATCGTCATATATCGTTGTATAAAGTTCGAATTTTATGTATGTGTGTTCTCTAAAAGACGTGAAAATTAAATATACTGCTGGCAAAAAAATTGGGGCCACCCTGTATTTCTTAAAATAAAAGTCACCTTAAAATGATATACAGTAGAATCCCTGGCAATCGGACTAAGAAGGCCTTCCAGATATGAGGAATTGGTTACAAAGTCCGGAAAAGAGGGGTTATATTTAGATTAAAATAAATGTTTAAATCAGGTTTAACATTTATTTTCAATGTTTTATATTAAACAAAATTAGCTAATGGTGAGTGAAATATAACGGAATTGATTTTAAGGAAAAAGAAATAAATTATCTAATGTTAATGAAAATTCATTAAATTAAGTATGCCACGTATGCAAAAGAAATAATGTAACGAGGATATTTTTAATCGCTGTTGCATGATGATTCTTTCTCTTCTAATGTCATTCTCAATTTTTTCCGCATTTCGTTTTGCTTTTGTCCCTAAAATTTTTTTAAACGAAAAACACTTTTTAACTCTGCGTGCGTTATTGCAATCGTCATAGCTGAATGCTGGCTTTCTTTCCATAAAACGGACAACCTTTTCAACAACTTTTTCTGTTTCAGTCCAGGTTTCATCACGATCATGTTTTCTTTTATTTCCTTGTTCATTGTGACAGTGTAAAAACTGGAGAATAATTTCTTTGGAAGATTTTATATCATACAATGTTGACTTTTCCTATGTTGAACTCAGCCATTCGTTACAATGAACTTTCACCAGCGTCTAGTCTGTTTAAAATTTCCACTTTTTGCGATAACTCCAAAGTTGTTCTTTCCCTCTTATTCCCATCGTCTTTTGCGCCAATACAAGCCATTAGGGTGAAATAAGCAGAAGCAATTATCCAAAGTAAATTTCCTGAAAAACAGAAATTTAAAATTAGTTACATATCACATAAATAGTTCAAATATACACATCAAAGTCATGTCCGGATATGCGGGATTCCGGATATGTGGCCCTCCAGATATGAGCGATTCCGGATATGAGGGAACCTTCCCAAGTATTCTTCAAACTCTGAAAAAAAGCTTACTCTCACACTTTGGGTATTCTTTTAAAATTCTCATATACTATTCATTCCATACTAATTCAATGGAGAGAGGTCAAAAAAAGTGAGGCGGCGAAGCTATAATTTCCAAATTTTTGTCCCTTTTTTTGACTCTGGGCAATTTTGACATAATTTAGAAGAGTGTTTTGGACGGTTGTCTTGTTTAAAATTGATTTTTTTGAGTAAATTGGATGGTCTGGCATATATTTAAAATAGATTGATACTGTTCATTTTTCATGTTTCCCTTGACCTGGCTGA